AGTATGAATGCTTAAAATTTGCTACTGTATGGTCAAAAGTAACCAAAGGCTCAAAAATCAAATGTTGACTGAATGTGAATGGAATTTGAATGTTAAAATACCATTCTATTCAGTCAGGATTCAGCTGTTAGCTTCAGTAAATATGAGAATTATAATACATATACAGTACGCTGATAGAGAAATTCTCTCACCCTCTTTTTAATCTGATTCGTTTTTGCTGAAATGTTAGATGGCCAAAATTTGTCCAAAACCAAAACACCACATGGATAAAATTTGGTCTGATTGAACAAAATATGTTGCTTTTGTTTTCAGACAAGGTCTATTTCTCATTGATCTCCATATTTTTTTTTTTAAAAAACAATTGTTTTGATTATCTGCAGGTGTAATATAATGTTTATAAATCTTATATTATAAATGTACCTTGTAGAAAAAAAATCTCTGGTTTATGTAATTATCCTGTACTGCTTATAGACTACAGGCTTACTTGAGAATGGTTGTCAATCATTACCTTTGAATTCCTATATGCTCAGATTGTCCTTTTGATTTCTCTTGTTCATCCATCCATGCATTGAGGTAAACACCAATAATTGGTGTTTGCCTTACCATCTAAACAAATGTTCCAATGTACCTTGAAGATACTTATTCCATTGATCTCTGCTCCTGTTGATTTAACATGAAGGGACTGTGATATATTTCTTCTTTGTTGACTGTGCTATAGAAGTGATTCTCAGAACTGTTTATAATGTAATACATGTATTTTTATTGTCTAATAAGTAAAGATCATGTAGAAATGGATAAACATTTACCCAATATATGCCTTGGGTAGATATAAAACAATGCAAATTGTTGTCTTTTTGTAGACTGCATGCTAACAATGTTATTTTTGTTAGGGATATAGTGCCTTGACAAAGGAATAAGGATAAGGATGTAAAGAAAGAAGCAAGCCTAAAACCATTATTAGTATAATTAAGATATGTAAAATTGTGCTTTGATAAAGCATATTGTATCTAATAGACATGTGCATTCGTTTTTGTACAAATATGATCTCGTCCGAAAATTCGTGTTTTTCGTATTTGTTTACTGAAACGTAAATGAAAGCCCTACAAATGAATTATAAACGAAACGAAAGGGCAAATGCTGAATGCATTACCTTTTCATTTCATTTGTTTAATAGACTCTGTGCTGCAGGGGAATAAATCACCACGGCATGGAGAAATCACACTGAGCCTGCGCAACAAAAAAAAAAAAAAAAAGGAGGGAGCCGTCAGCCTACCAGCTCCCTCCTTGTAATAAATAACTATTCCTACCCCCCTGCATTAAAACATATGGGGGTCACTATGACCCATATATTGATAAAAGGGAGGTTAAATCCTCCCGCATGCCTCTACTATTGCTGCCCAGTCGCTAATGCAATAAGGGGGGACCTGGCACAAAAAAATATCGACGGTAAAAAAGAATCAATCTTCGCCCATGGAGGGCATGGCACAGAATGAGCTCTGCAGCCCTGCAATTAGTATCAGAGCGCTCTGATTGGTTAGTTTAAGCCAACCAATCAGAGTGCTCTGACAGGTAAATGAAGAGATGGCCAGTGCCCGTGAATATAGATTATTTTCACCCCTTGCAACTCGAACCTCGGGAGCTTTACAGAGATGCGTCCTTGTGGCTCAAGCGTCAGGCCATGTTCCCCCTATGTACAGGCTCTATAGCGTGCTCGAAAGCTAAAGGGTCAAGTGGGGTGAGGGGGGTGAGGGGGGTACTTAGGGTATTTTCATTGGGGGGGAATGACTAGAGGCTTGAGACATCCTAGTCACTTTATTATTTGTGATCCCCACCCGCCGGTCATGGATGAGGACCTGGGGGGGACATTAGGTCCCCCCCAATATTTATTTATTTAGGGTCCACACCCACCGCTCATGAGTGGGGATCTCAAGAGGACATTAGGACCCCCCATCATTTATTTAATAAGGGTCCCACCTGCCGCTCATGAGTGGGGATCAGGTGGGACATTAGATCCCCTTGTTTATATTAATATATATTATTATTATATTAATAAATTAATTATATTAATTAATAGTTTTTTCTATAACCTTTGGTTACACGTACTCTTACCGTAGCTCTCTATCACTCCTATATAAGATACTGATTTTTATATCCAATTTTAAATGATGCAGCATGCTTTCATAGTAGGGGCATGCGGGAGGATTAAACCTCCTTTTAATTAATATGGTGGTTATAGTGACCCCCGTAAGTTTTAATCGGGGGGGGGGTAGGAATAGTTATTTATTACAAGGAGGGAGCTGGTAGCCCTGCCAGTGTTCTATCAAATTCCCCTACCTCGTGAAAATCCCCTACCCTCGTCACTTTCGGTGAGGGGAATCAGCTGGATCCTGTGCTGCACATGCGTGCTAGCACTCCTGCTACTCCTCCACAGCAAGGTCCTGGAAGGTAAGTAAAACTAGTTTTAAACTTTCATTATAGTTAGTGCATTCACTAAGCTTAGGCACATGGGACATTTAGGGTTAAGTGAGGGTTCAAATTAGGATTAGGTAAGTGATTTTAACCTCTCTCACACTCTATTCTTACCCTAACCCTTGGGGTAAGGGTTAAAATAAGGTATGAGAAATCACTATTTATAGATATTCCCCTTGTGTGAAATATCACTAAATATAAACAAGTCCTTAATCCTAACCTTAATTTGAACCCTAACATTAGCCCTAAATGTCCCATGTCCTAAGCTTAGTGAATGCACTAACTATAATGAAAGTGTAAAACTAATCAATAGGCCTATTCCATGTGCATGGGCCTGGAGCTGCAGCTCCATCAGCCCCTATGTTAATCTGGCCCTGCTCCCACTCTCAGTCTTTTTGTTCCTGTTTTATAAGTAGGACAGACATAGTCATTCTAATAATAGAGAATTTTTTTTTTCGACTTACTTGAAGGTTGTTAGCTTCTGCCTTAAGGGAGTTCACTTATTCTTAGCCTCTGTGTCTTTCAATGTAGCCACTGGATTTACTTATTCTTAGGCCGATGTGCATTTTTTTTATAGCCACTGGGTTCACTAATTTCATTGCCTCTGTGTCTTTTAATATAGCTGCTGGATTCACTTATTCCTAGGTCTTTTAATATAGTCACTTGATGCATTTATTCCTAGGCTTCTGTGTCTTTTAATATAGCTGGTTTAGTCATTTATTCCTAGGCCTCTTTGCCTTTTAATATAGCAACTAGATTTACTTATTCTTAGGCCTCTGTGCCTTTTAATATAGCCGCTGAATTCACTTATTCCTAGACCTCTGTGCCTTTTATAATAACCACTTTATTCATTATTCAATCATTTGCGGCTCTTTCAGTGCTTTATTTTCTTGGTCCTAGGGCTCTGTGCTTTGCGATATACATTTGCGGCTATTCGCAACTTTATTCTCAAATTTTTACACCTTGTGCTTTCTCTTATGCATTTGTGTCTTTATTATCTTATTTCTATGCCTGTGTACTTGGTATTAGGCATTCATGGCTATTTGCTGCTTTATTCACTTATTTCTCTACTGCTGTTTATTGTTTTAGACAGTTGGGATTATTCGCTGCTTTATTAACTTATATCTATGCCTCTGTACTTGGCAATAGGAATTTGTGGTTATTCGCCACTTTGTTAAAGTGTTCGGAAATTGTATATCAATTATCGGATTTGAGTACATACTTGCCACTTTCAGAGGATCCCACTGAATTCATTAAACAGCGGCTTATTAACACATTACACAGGGGTTTGAAGAGTGGATACATCACCATGGAGTTAAATCAATTGAGCAACCTCCTAGTCAGCCTATAGTATCCGCGATAGGTGGCATTTTAGAACCAGTGGCAAAATGGCTGGATCATTTATTCAAAGACACTATTGAAAACTTGAAAACCTGTAACAAAGATACTCCATTATTGCTTAGGATGTTGTCCTCACTCATGCTACCCTCTGATCCACTGATGTTAGTGACTTGCGATGTCAAAAGCTTGTATACCGTAATTCCGCACCAGGATGGTATACAGGCCATGCAAATACTGCTGTCCAACTCACAACATTACCATGGACCACCAGTGGATACTACCACTGTTTGGGGTGTCACCTGTGGACATATGTTACCAGGGAAAGTTTTTGCTCATCCACACTCAGGGAAACAATACATGATCAAACATCGGTTAACCTGTAACTCAACTTTATTGTCTACAAGTTACTGTGCCCATGTGGGCTAGCCTACATAGGCAAAACTGACCTACCTCTGCGTGAGAGAATCAGAAACCACAGATCCAGTATCTGCACGGCATATAGGGACAACAAGACTGAACAACCTGTGGCGAAAATTTTTTTGGATATGGGTCACACAATGTCCTCTTTGAAACTGATGGCTATTGATCATATACCTCCACCACGGAGGCGGGGTGATCGCAGCAAACCTTTGCTCCAATATGAACTGTTCTGGATTAGGACCCTCAACACAGTTTACCCATATGGCCTGAATGAAATATATTCGTTATCAGTTTTTTTATAAAGTGTGCTGCATGATGTTGTATTAATGCTTCATAGTTGCTTATATCTGTTCCTGTTTTGAGGCATTGGCAATGGTATGAAATGTCCCGCCATGAGGGTTAGGCATTTTTTACTATGCATTTATGTTTTCATTGAAACACTATGTTTACTTAGCAGTCGCAGATATGGTTCCATGCATGTGATGGTAATATTTCCCACTTGAAGCACTGGTTAGCCTATGAGATTGCCCACCCTTGGGGATAGGTTTCTCCGTCTTCCCAGATTTTGTCTTCATCTGGATGTTTACTAACACCATGGAACATTGTTGACATGCATAATGGTTGTAGTATTTCTATCTTCTGTAGCTCCATGTGGGTATCCATCTTTATGTCGTTTTTTACAAGACTTTCCCTGGTGGCTAGGTCCTTGTATCTTCCTATGGCATTTGGGTCCTCAACTTTGAGCACTAATTTTTGCTACTTTATTTTTGATACTTTGTTAGCTGCGGGCCCATGATCATGTACTCAGTAGCCTGGATTTGAGTTTATTATGCAAATTGTGTTGCCTAGCATTAGGTGAAGGGCTGTTTAAGGTGCCACCCCGAAGGACAGCGCCAATAGCTTCACTTCATACATTTGCGAGCTTGGCGTTTTTCTGAATAGCTTTTTATGAATTAGTACTTATTTTGTTGAAGCTTCCTTACTATCCCCCCTTATAGGAGGTAATATGTCTCTGTATGGAAAGAGAAAAAGAGAGAATTCTCATAGGATAATACAGCAGAGCATCAATTAAAATAGTATATATAAATTAAGGTTTGTATCACACTCACATTTTCATGAGTCTGTTTCTTTAACTGGCTCTGGTAAAAAGAAACTTGAGTGTGACACTGGAGTAAAGGGCAAGAATAGCAGCAACTGTTCCTTCAGGAGTAAAGCAGAAGAGAAGCAGGATACATTTAAAATGTATTTATTAAAACATAAGTAATAAAAACCTTACATTGAGGTACACATAATATTACCAAGTGGTATTCACAAGCAGCACAATGAGTTTCAATGAATTAACGTCTTCCTCAGGTACTATAACCTTAGTGCAGTAGAAGTCTCCCTTTTAAATCCATTTTGGCACCAAACAAACACCTGTGTCCGCCCTTTGTGTATCGGCAAAAGTCACGGCCGCCATCTTGGTGCTCGCGAGGGTGTACTGCGTCACTTCCGGTTCTGAGTTTAACATTCCAGTGGCCATTTCTGCATTCCATTTACCTGGTGCCCATCTTGAAAATCGATCTCAGATGAATGTTCAGCTTGCCAATATATTCCCAGTGTGTTCGAGGGATAATTAACCAATCACAAATCCAACATCACACACACACAATATATATAAAAGGGGAAAGAGAGACATATAGTGCATAGTAAGTAATAAAAGAAAAAAAATATAAAATATACAGTAAGGGAAAAAGTATTTGATCACCTGCTGATTTTGAACGTTTGCCCACCAACAAAGAAATGATCAGTCTATAATTTTTGGTAGGTGTATTTTAACAGTGAAAGATCTCACCTTGTGGAGTTTCAATGATCATGAGAACAATGAGGAATCAGCCCAGAACCACACAGGAGGGTCTCGTAAATAATCTCAAAGTAGCTGAGACCATAGTCATGAAGAAAACAATTGGTAACACACTATGACGTGAAGGACTGAAATCCTGCAGCACCTGCAAAGTCCCCCAGCTCAAGAAAGCACATGTACAGGCCATCTGAAGTTTGCCAATGAACATCTGAATGATTCGGAGGAGAACTTGGTGAAAGTGTTGTGGTCAGATGAGACCAAAATCAAGTTTTTTGGCATTAACTCAACTCGCCGTGTTTGGAGGAGGAGGAATGCTACCTATGACCCTAAGAACACATTCCCCACCATCAAACATGGAGGTGGAAACATTATGCTTTGGGGGTGTTTTTCTTCAAAGGGGACAGGACAACCGTACCGCATCAAAGGGACGATGGACAGACCATGTACCGTCAAATCTTGGGTGAGAACCTCCTTCCCTCAGCCAGGGCATTGAAAATGAGTCGTGGATGGGTATTCCAGCATGACAATGACCCAAAACACACAGCCAAGGAAACAAAGGAGTGGCTCAAGAAGAAGCGCATGGTTGCCAAAAGTCAGCCTCAAAACCTTAATGACTTGGAGAGGATCTGCAGAGAGGAGAGGGACAAAATCAATTTGTTATTGTATACTAATAGGTCTTTTTTGTTTGTGGAAAACTTCTTTCCACGGTTTGTCTATTTCGTCACTATCGTATTCCTTTTGGGAGAATTATTATTATTATTTTTTTTTTATAAAATCCTCATTATTCTTACAATTCCTTCTTAATCTAGTAAACTGCCTTTTTGGAATATTCGTGAGCCATGTTCTAAAATGGCAACTCTCTTTATCTATATAATTGTTATAATTATCTGGTGTTCATCTGCTTTTCTTTCCTTGTAGACCAGGAGAGGTCTTCAAACCTCTATATAGCCACCAGCAGATTAATAATCTGGACTATTTCCAGACTACTAAGCACTAGGGTTCAATGTCCTTATGATGTGTGCGTCATCATATTGCTTTCATAATATTTGAAGTCTTGTGTATTTCTTTCCCTCCTTTGGTTATTTTTTTGGGTATTACCCATTTTTGTGCTGCCATGTGTAGCAGAACCCCTGTGGCTGTCACATACATTACCCTACAATATTTGTTGTTGGCACCTAAGAGTTTTCCTATACCTGGACTATACAGAATTGCCTACAACCTTATGTGGCCACTCTAAGATTCATCAAGGTGTTCGGTAGAAAATAGATACAAGTCTGCATGTGAACAGCTGTATTCACCATACGAACTAAAGTGCCAAACAACCGGACCATCCTGGTGTGAAGTGTGGCTGTAATTTACCTCCCTGCCTGCTTTCTACATTCCCATGTTTCAAACACACGAACGCTCTGCTGTATTCCTTGGGTGGCTGCCATTTCGGCAGCCGAACATGTGGCGGCGGCCATCTTAAACTCTCGAACAGCTGTGTTTGCTCGTCGAGTGTCTGGAACTCAAATCGGACACTCGACTAACCGAACACCACTGAGACCTCCAGGACTTCAGAAAAGTACAGATCGAAATGCCTGAACGGCCCGTCATTCGGTAGGATAAATCCCACGAACTATGGGATTCATCCGAATGCAAACTCAACTATAGATGGCATAGATTTTCGGGACTTTTGATGCGTGAACGGAGACCGACCACAGGGCCAAGATTCATGGAACTATTTTCGGCTACTTTGCCCATGCGGTCGAACAAATCTTTGCGTCCTCGTAACTCCTGAACCCCTGGTCTGATCTGGGTGATTTTTGGATATGTTTCTCACCCAGATCAGGGCTACCAGAGGGTACCACATTTAAAGGTGTACCTACCATATTTGAAGTACATCCAAGAATTGGGGAAAAGTAGGTACATTATAATTATGTTAACTGTTAAGTTAAGGGGAGGAGATGTGGGGGAGGTAACGTCTGTGTGATTGGTTACTATACTGATTATGGTGGGTGCCTCCCTTGCATGGGAGAATCTCATAAAAGCAGGAATTGTGTCATTAAACTTCAGTTCTACTCCTGATCCTGTGTGTCGTCCAGTGATTGGGGAAAGGTGATGGGATATTATGGAATTGCCTTGCTGATTGTGCTGGTTACCCTATTGGATTTACTACTTGTTCCTGAATTATTTTAATACACCAGTGGAGTTAAGCTGTGGGAAATCAGCTCTCCGCTACACCATGGATATAGCCAGGAAAAAGGAAAAATTATTACTACTTACTGTAATTTTCTTTTCCTAGTCATAAGCCATGGCAGCACAAAGGATATTGCTGTAAACAAGACTGAAGTTCGGAAGGGTAGGAAGGGTTACTTATACCTTTTATTTTAATTAGGTTTCTGTCGAATTAGGGAAATTGTTGTACTGCTATGGCCTATGACCATGAAAAGTAAAAAGTAAATCACGGTAAGTAGGAAGACATTTTCATATATATATATATATATGATGTGACAAAAAATGTTGTGACAAAAGTCTAACTAGTTATTTTTGCAAATTGAATATTTCCATTCTTTTGTAAAATTACATCAAAGCACATGTATTTCCTTTTGAGTTAGTATCTTGCTATCCACATGTTTAAATTTTATATATAATCCAATTGCATACAGTGTATGTTAATGGAACATCAGAGGAATAACCACTCCCTGTTGGCCCTGCTTAATTATAAATGTTTTGTGCCAAACATACTTATTTTTAAGCATTACCAGCACTGTTTCTCTTTAAACCTGTGATTATGGTAAGGTAGGAGTCGGGCATTTTTAACTTGTCTCTAATTTCCATTGGCATGTAGAGCCAGAAACGACTGAAAAAAGCTTTTGCTATTCTTATCACATACACAATTGTTGCAGGATTTGCTAAAAGTGGACCTTGTTTCAGAAAGAGAAAGAAAAATAGGATTAAAGGAAAAGCTACTGATCTGTTCTTCAGAGAAAGTGTGACAATGCTCCTGAGACGAGGCATTAATAGAATGGCATTAAACGTGCATATCTTTCTGAGAAATGGAATTCTGTACCATGTTGCAATTTAGGTTATTACAAATCTGAAATCCAGGTATATCGTAAGGTGAAAATTGAAGGCTTAGTCATAGTATGAATCATATTAATTTTGTTCTTGTTCTGATGCCATTTCACTGTGATTGCATTAAATATTACATGTATTTATAATGAATCATTAAATATATATTTTTAATAAATATATGTTGGTCAAGCACTTGATGTCAAGAGAGATGATAGGCTTTATGTTGATGTGCTATTATACATATAGAAATGCTTTGAATATTAAGCATGTATATTTGGAATGAATAGAGGAAGGTGTTATATTATTCAGTTTAATAAAAAAAAACATATTTGATTTAGCTTTGTTTTATTAGTTTTTCTCATGTTTCATTGTTTAGACTTATTACCATTTTACAAGTATCTAGTCAATTTGCATCTGTTTAAGTTGATAGTACAAATATACAATGGAGACTTGCCCTGCTGTTGAAAATAATTTAAATATACGTTTTTAATTAGAAAACAAGTGAAAAAATTGCAGGTTTTTACCCTATTTAAAGAAAGTCAAGACCATTATTGCACTGTGCACCAATACCTAAATAAAAAAAAGCCTGTGCACTCAAAAATATCTGCAAAACAGCTATTGTTTATTGTAGTATTAAAACTACAAAATAAAATACTCACACCTCTAACTTTGTTGTTTTGTTAATAACTTAATGAAAATGCCAGGTAAGAAATCAGAGATCAAAATGAGGCGAATGTGCTGCAATTGGGCATATAATGGTAGCTCTGGAAATTAAATGGAGGCACCTGATGACAAAATGGGAGGTTGGAAATGAAATTAGAGAACAAGTAAGGAAATGTGATACATAAAGATACTGCAGGTGAGATAAAGGGATGGTGATCATATTGTGGAAGCTGGAATGAAATATGTAGGCTGGAGATGAGATGAAAAGCTGATTATTAAATTGGTGGTGGCATTCAAGCAAGTGTGAGATGAGATTCAATATTGCTGAATGCAAACTTAAGTACTATGGAATGAGAACTCACAACTATCATTTTTCAACGTTATACAGAAAGGTAAGGCCACACCTTAAATATACAATGCAATTTGGGGCACTGGTTATAAATAAAAATATTAAGGAACATTAAAAAAAAACTGTTGTTGTTTACTTTAGAAAAAAAATGAGATGGTTGGATATGACAGTCTGTATAAATATATACAGGATCAGTAAAAACACCTCTCTGGTAACCTGGTCCTCTAAAGGATGGTAAAACGAGGCACTTCATCTAAACTTAGTTGTTATGGTGACATAAGGCCCCTGGGTACACTCTACCTTCTTGAATGGGTACAGTCTCACTGATCTCAACTCCCCACCAGGCAGCATCCAGCTTATGAAATCTCAATTTTAGGAAGAGCGGAGTGCCATCAGGCAGGGGTGCTGCTTATTGGCTGAGAAGGATCAGCTGACACTCTCAGCCAATCAGTTACTCCCCATTTAGAAAACTGAAAGAAAGAACGAAAGAAAGAAAGAAAGAAAGAAAGTAGGCTATATCTCATATGTGAATTTGCAAGGTGATTAGAAAGGAGTATATGTAATAAAAGACAGAAATATTCATTTAAAAATGAGGTAACAACACAAAGCATTTACTCAGAGATTAAACAGACAAGCATGAACATAGCAGCTGATAGTACAAAGTCGTCAGCACATTGTCTGAAGAACTGCCATGCCAGGGAACTCCTTGGCTTTGGTGTGCTCGGTCCCTGGGTGCGGTGGGCAGTAGCAGGTGTACTGTCTAGGGGACGGCCGCTACGTTTTTGCACCCTGCTCTAGGAGAAGAAGGTGGATGTGAAGTAGGAGGTTGAGGAGGTGGTGACTGTGGCGGTGTAGGTGGAAATGGCAGTGAAGGACATAGCCAACACAGTTTTTTATTAGTGTTTTTTGTTTGTTTGTTTTTTTAATTGGGGTAGCCCCCAAAATGTTGGGACATATAAAAAAAGAAAACAAAAAATAAGGGCACTTGTGTATAACAATGGCTGGGTGAGGCCGGTATAAATGTCTATTCTGCACAAGGTACAGACAAGTCTGGTGGGATCCATGCCTGGTTCATTTTAATAAACGTGAGCTTGTCCACGTTGGCTGCGGACAAGCGGCTGCGCTTGTCTGTGATAACGCCCCCTGCTGTGCTAAACACACGTTCAGACAATACACTGGCTGCAGGGCAGGCCAGCACCTCCAAGGCATAAAGGGCAAGCTCAGGCCATGTGCCCAATTTGTAGACCCAGAAGTTGAATGGGGCAGACCCATCAGTCAGTACGTGTAGGCATGTGCACACATACTGTTCCACCATGTTGCTGGAATGCTGCCTCCTGCTAAGATGTTCCATATCAGCTGATGGTGCTGGTTGTTGTGGCGTGCTGACAAAGCTTTTCCACATTTCGGCCATGCTAACCCTGCCTTCTGAGGTGCTGGCAGTGCCCCAGCTGCGTTGGCGACCTCTTGCTCCTCCTCTGCCTTCACCTTGTGCTTCCACTGAGCCCCCGGTGTCAGTTGGGAATGCCCTCAGCAGCGCATCTACCAGCGTGTGCTTGTAGTTGTGCATCTTCTGATCACGCTCCAGTGAGGGAATTAAGGACGGCACATTGTCCTTGTAACGGGGATCCAGCAGGCTGGCCACCCAGTAATCAGCACAAGTTAGAATGTGGGCAACTCAGCAGCCATTGCGCATGCACTGTAGCATGTAGTTGCTCATGTGTGCCAGGCTGCCCAGAGGCAAGGAAAAGCTGTCCTCTGTGGGAGGTGTATCATCTGTGTCCTCCGTATCCGCCCAGCCTTGCTCCAGTGATGCCCACGAGCTGTGTTGGGTGCCACCCTGCTGTGAACACGGTTCTTCCTCCTCCTCCTCCTCATCCTCCAGAACTGTGCCCTGGCTGGACAATTGTGTATCTGGCCTATGATGGTGCAGGAACCCACCCTCCGAGCCACTTGTGAATGACTGGCCTGATAACCGTGGAAATGACCCCTCTTCCTCCAGTGCCACATCCTCTTCCATCATCGCCCAAAGCATTTTATCAAGGAGACATAGAAGCGGGAAAGTAAGGCTGAGAACGGCGTCAGCGGTGTAACGGAACCGCTGGCACCCCGACCGGGTACCTTCCGTTGATGGATGCTCCTAGTGCTTTCCGAGTACTCCAAGCACTCCGCCAGACACCATAACCACTGTAGAATCCCACCAACCGCCGCAGCTTGGTTGGGGTCTCGCCGTCTCCACCCACTCTGGACCCAAGACCAGGGTCCAGCTTCCAGTAGGCCAACCTCTCCAAATTCCAGAAAGCAGGAACAGGAAAAAGCTCTTAGTAGAGCTTAGTGATTATACCCTGGAGAGTAGAGTGTAGTTCTCCAATTCCCCAAACAAGAGCCGAATATTCATGAAGGTACAAGATGATCTGACTCCAATGAGCGTTTACTACTCCTTATATACAAATTTTCAGGACAGAGGCACACCCCCTGGACCTGGTGGTAAACTGTGACAAAAGGGACACAAACCAATGGGAACACTAATTAACATAATAACACTCCCACATACAAAATGAAATCCCTCCTCTCCATCCTGGAGATAATTGGCTTAAGGCACTGCAGTAAACTCAATTATCTCCAGGTACAAAAAAAATCTACATTTTACACTAACAGCAAAAATACATAAAAGTACATAAAAATACATAATTATTATATTACACAGAACCCTCACATTTAACCTATCCCC